ACCCAACATAACGGTATTTCACATTATATAGCATTAATCATCTATAATAACTGCTAGCTTCCTACCCTATCGCGTTGTTTTGTTTTGGTGACAACATGGCCGGTGTAAGTCACGTGATTGAAACCGAGTTGGCCAAACTCTCTCTATCTACGGCTCTGTTTATAAGATCTTTGATTGACAACGAACACGACGCTATATCCCCGACGCCGATTTTTGAAACTTTTTCGTAAATCAGGATGTAAAAAAGACAGACCTAAGAGTTTTTTTTAACCAGAATGTAGTAACCCAGCTGTAGAACAGTGCATCATGCTCAGTGGGCGTAACGGCTACCGGTGCGATATGCGTTTTCGTGCGAAAATCCGCAGGGCCATTTCTAACTATGAGGGTCCTCGCTCTACACCCTGATCCAAAATGGCTTTGTTAATACATAACAACATAAGTATAATGTGTCTCTGACATCGACTGTATTACACACATCATAATAATCCTGAGGGGATGGGGTGCCCAGCCGGCCAAGGGCCACCCTATTTGTCAAAATAAAAAGAAAATTGAAATAAAATATTCTAGAGGTGCCATAATCATAATTTGCTTTGTGACTCCCCAGTTAGAATAGAGGTCCTTGATTACACCTTTGCGACGCCCGTGAGGGGAGGGGTGTCCAAGGGAGGAGGAGCATAGCCCTGTCGAGAGGAAGTAAATGATTTTGTCGAGGAACTGCGTGTGAAAAAGCATTTTTACAATCCGAGAGTGCCATTTCCGATTTTCTAGAGGGGCCTATTCTTAAAAATTGCTCCAGGGGCCACAGACCCTTAGGGGCGGGCCCCTCGGTTCCCCACCCCTTACCCATATTGTCCAATAGGGTCTTCGCTCTATGACACCCTTGCTGAATCGTGAGATAAAGGAAGTAAATTGTTGTCGGTTGGTGAGGTAATTTTTAAGTTGGGGAAGTGGAAGGCCTCTGACACCATAGTTATTCAAATTAGCTAAGAGTATTAATATCGATGGTGTCAAAGGCCTTACTTAAGTCAAGAAACACACCAACCATGGACTCATTAGTGCAGACAATACCTTGTCACAAAGATCAATTATTGCAAAGTGTCAAATTTTTTTTATAAATCCATACTGATTACTAAACAAAATGTGTTTGTAAAAAAAAATGAATTAAGTCTATTGTAGAATACGTAAATTTTAGATAAGGAAGGTAATAATGAGATAAGGTCTGTAATTATTAAAATGAGGATCATCTTTTTTTGTAAATTGGAATGACTTTTATTATATATTTGTTTTTATCGTTGTTTTTACCAGATTTTATGTATTTTACATAAAGGGCGTTTCGAATATCTATTGATTGATGATGCCAGGATGTGTTGTGTCGGTAAGATTATTGGAAAATATAGTCGATTAATGTTGCAGTTCTGGTTGTTATTTTTGTGGGACGGGATATCAGAGGGAAAAATAGAATTTAAACATTGAGGTAAGAAAATCTGAGGCATTGTTTTGAAAAGTGGATTTCAGTAAATCAATATTGAAATCGCCGCTAAGGTAAGCTACTTTTTTCATTGTTAATATCAAGAATTTCAATTATATTAAGATTAAATGATTTAACTGAAAGCCCGGGCAGCCGATAAATAACACCTAAAATAATATTTTTAGGCTTAGAGTTTATTTCGATAAAAATTGATTCTAAATTTGGAGAGATAAAAGCTGAAAGATCAGGAAGGTTATGGTATTGATATCTCTGATTCAGGTATATAGCAATTCCTCTACCTGGTCATTCGGAGCAAGAAGAGTGCAAGAGTTTGTATCCATAAATATTGTGAAAATTAAAGTTTGTCTTATAAGTGTTGAAGAATGTTTCACTGAACATAATGCAGAAAATTCGTGATTAGTAGAGCTAACAAAATCGTAAATTTCACTAAAGTGTTTGATAAGGCTACGGAAATTTAAATGAAGAATGCTAAAAGATGTTTCTAGTAAGATGAATGGGATGAGATTTAGGGGGTGGGGTAAATTGTTAAAAAAAAGACCCTAAAAAGTAGGGAGTGAAGGTGGCTCCCCCGGGAAAATGTTGATTCCTAGATGGCAGGAAATGAGCTTTCTCGACTTTTGAGCTAGGTGTCTTTTTAAGTTCTTTAAAATTCAAGGTTTTCCTGTCTTGAAAACGGTCAGGTAAACTTTCTCATTCTTGAGTAGTTGCATACGTATTTTTTTTTTCTATGAATCAATAAACCCCAAAGAAAAAGGGAATGTTCTCCCCGAGAAAATTTTGATTCCTAGATGGCGGGAAATAAGTTTTCTGACTTTTCCAAAATTGAAGGTTTTCCCCCTTGTTATAGTAAATAGGCCTATTACGTGTGTACCGGTATACATACGTTGCATACGTATTCTTTTTTCCATGAATTTGATGAACCCCCAAAAACAAAAACGGGGGTCGGTGTGATTCCTAGATGGCGGGAAATCAGCTTTTCTGACTTCTAATTTCCTTATTGTAACAAAAAATATTCAGCTCACGGGTCCTGAAAAAGTAGGTCTAGAATTGTTTGGTTGTGCCTGCCATAATGAGTTAGACTTATTATGTATACGTTCAAGAAAATTGAAAATTTCATCTAATAATAATAATAATACAGTAATAATAATAATAATAATAATAATAATAATAATAATAATAATAATAATAAGCTATATAATAGCCATTGATGCATGCCGCCGGAGCGTCAATAAATTGAATTGAAATTGGCTTATATCATATAAATCAATTTGATTTCACTTAAATTAGTTCGTCTTTGACATAAACATAACAGAGCAAAGAACAGACACTTTACGAGTTAGATGGGATTGTCATGTATATGAGTTTAATTCATATAAGACATTCCCCACCACCCCCCCCCCCCCAATTTTAGAACATTCTACACAATCAAAACGAACAAGTTATCTAAAAAATCCAGATACTGCTTCGTTATACAGTACAAATTACAGTACAGTATAATAAAATTAATTGAAAAAGCTTTGGATTTTTAAATGAAGGTTTAAGTATATATAACTAAAATTTTATGAATCTTGGGATTAGACTGAATTTTTATTTTTCCCAGTGGTCGCGTTGGTATGTTTATTGTCCTCCATAGTAAATAACTGTACTCGACTCAACTACGCCCCCTCAATTTCCACACTCTTTTCATAAGCATGCCATTTGAAATGCGACCCTCAAAACGGTACATGTGCAGTGTATGGAACCATTACTGTGTATAGGCCTGTAATTAATCAACAAGGACTTATATAGCGCCAATATCATGGTATACTGTACACTTTTTTTTTTATAAGAACCAATATTTTCCCTAGGCTCAGTGTTCTTATATTTTTGGCTCAAAATGTTTTTATTTTTGATACAGAAACTGTATGAGAACTTGACTGGTTGGAGGGGAAAATTATAAATATTACTATTAGCACAAGTCGAGTATTTTGCGTGGTTCCCTGATGGAACTTCCGATTACATCACATGACATTAATGGAGTAGGCCTACCGTAAATATTATGTTGCTATAACCTTTTTAAACATAATACATATCACTATATGCAAGTAGCTTGATTTGTTATTGTTGTTTTTTTATATAGCTTTTTTTCAATAAAAAAAACCCTCATTTGATATTTTACCTCAGCCTAAATTTGTTCTTAATTTTTAAGCAATTTCAGCCTCAGTGTTCTTATAAAAAAAATAAAAGAGTAGTTTATTTCAAAACTTCATAAAACATAATAGAGTAGTATAACAATAAAAATGATTTTTTTTTTTAAAGAAAAGCCAAATATAACGTTGTAGTAAAATCTAAATTGCATTATATTAACAAGCAAAAAAAAAAAATACCTCCGCCTAAATTTGTTCTAATTTTTAAAGCAATTTCAGCCTCAGTGTTCTTATAAAATGCGTTCTTATAAAAAAATAAAGTGTAGTTTATTTAAAAACTTTACAAACCGTAATGGTAACAATAAAAATTGTTTAATAAGAATATTGTAGTCGAAGTTGTAGTAAAAACTAAATTGCGTTACAGGAATATTAACAAGCAAAAAAATACACATTAACAATACCAATACTATACTTTTAAAAAAAAGGCAGAAACACTGGACAATTATAAAATTCATAAATAGAAAACATATTATTATTATTATTTGTATTATTATTATTATCATTTTCACTGGGTCCAAAATTGTAAAAACATCTAAATGTTTAAATAACAATTCACAGCAACAAAACCATTGACTTTGTCACAGCATGAGTAGTGGGATCTCATGTTTCTTTAGGAGTGCTGTGGTTGGACGGCCTTGTATTGTATACAAATACGTTACACAGTAGTTCACTAAAAACCTCTATTATAGTCTTTATATAAAAATGACAATGTATCGAATACAGTGGATTGTCTGATATTCAAGTACTGTATCTGTTCTATGCATTTCACCAATCTGCAATAACAAAAAACAGTTTCATTAGTTTACTGTATTGATAAACTATGATGATGTGTATATTCGAAAAAACAGTGGCGGCTCTAGGATATTATTTTTGGGGGGGGGGGGAGCTAAGTATGGATGTAACTATAGCGCGCAGCGTTATCTGAGGGCCGAAGGCTCGAGCCAAGGGTAGGTATGGGAGGGGGATGTCCCCTTCTCCCAAAACGAGATTTAAAAAAAAATTGGTACTTCTAGATGGCCTGAAATGGCACTGTCAGCCTTGGCGTATGCAGTACAGTACTGGGATGGGAACACACCAGCTAAGAGAAGACTAAGTAAGAAAGAGCACTATTCTCGGATGAGGCACACATACACTTGCTAATGCTATGCTACTTTGTGTGCCACATGCACAACATCTCACCACAGTAGTTGACCATGAGTAAATAATATACAGCATCTGCAGATCATGATTTTGATGCATTCGCTAAAACATAATAGATAACTGAAAGCTAAATACAATCCATAATGCCGATGAAAATACAACAGTTTCAACAAAAACAAGAAGGGAGTTGTAAGGTCGACGAACTTGACCTCTAAATATGGTCATATGACCGAGTTGAGCAATTTGATTGGGCCGCGCGCTAACCTCACAAGGGCAATACAGCGTGGAATGACTGTGTTACCAGCTAAGTGGAGTGTACTGTGTTCTATTTTTTAGCCTCTTGTTACATTTATGGAATATATTTATTGCAACAATCAGCATGGTTTATATCTATGATAAATGGACTTCCATGAATCTGCACATCCAAGAAAATTATTAAGAAATGGCTACAGGACAAGCTTGTGAATCGTCCGTTACTCTGTCACCGGATGAAGTAAATTTTCTCTCCGACTACGATAGGTAGGCAGAAGAAATTGGTAATTTATAATAATTACTAACCTAAAATTGCGGTTCATATAGTAAGAAGCTATCTTTTAAATATATTTTGTATATTTTTTTCTAGCCGGTTATTCGGATTCATAGATCTTGAAGGCGAAAAAGGACATCAAACCAAGGATCTACTTACGAAGGTAATGTCACTTGTCTATATTTTGGGATGCTCCCAGAACGATTCCACTTTTCTGTAGGTGAACTTTGTTTCTTGGTATGTTCTATCAATTAATATTGTTTTCTCTATATCGTATTTAACTTTCAATGGGTAGTGGATTAGCTATTAATGAAGGCATATGTAGCTAAATCAATTTAAATAGCTCCTACATCTGAAACATGTTACGATCTGTGGACAAACATTTTGTTGCAATTTCTTCAAGTGGTGTATTCCAAGATGGCGGCCATGTTCACAAAAATCGTACTTTTTCTTTCCAACCTTCTTTGTTAGTTTGCAAGCCAATAATGTACAAAGATATTATTATTTATAGATTCTTGACCTGTATTTCTACAGAATTAGGTTGTTTGGTTGTTGTTTACACATTTTCAGCAGCTAATTTGCTTACACATCAAATTCAATTTGAATACAATGCAATACAAAACAAGTCAAAAGTCTTCTTGTTGGGAGAGGGCACAGGGGGTATTAAACCGGTGTGTAAATGTATTATTCTGCACAAAATAATAACCTAAAGTACACGTACTACTTTAATAGTTGTTGTCTAGTGCGAGACCTAGCCAGGCTAGGGTCTAACTATATCATACTGTCAACCTCGAGAAATTTTAAAGAGTAAGATCTGGTGCCACATAATGAGTGCTGAAGGCATGAACAGCAGTAGCTGGGGGCCTCCAAGGGCTCCCGGCCCTTTGACGCTTTGGCTAAACTATGCAGTACGTAATCTTAGGGCTAGGCCTGGCCTGGCCTTTCACTGTCCAAGGAATATATTGTACTTGCTTGTATGACGTTGATAAGATACCATAAAAGTTAAACCTCGAATCGAAGCCCTGGGCTTTTTTTTGGATTGGAACTTTGGATGGGCTTCTTTTCTAGGCCGCTTTTGCAAATTAAAAAGGGGGGGCTTCTTTTCAAAATGAATGCAGTAAATTTTGGGAATTAGTACTATAAAACAATAAATAGGGATAATGTATCATCAATCTGTCATGGAGTATATTATTATTAATTGATATTAAATCGCCTAAACTACTGTATAAACCAAGCGTGTTTCAAATTTATTTTGTTTCTTTGAAATTCATGTACAGTATATGTACTGTACTATCTCGAAAAAAAGCGATGCTATTTTCAAAAGAAGCCCATAGGCTTCTTTTCAAGGCTAATTTTGCAAAATGTAGAGGGGGCTTCAAATCGAGATGAGCTTCTTCTTGAGATTAAAGCCCATTGGGCTTCAATTTGAGGTTTTATGGTTCACCACTAGTAGTAGGCCTAGGCCTACTTTTAGTTTTGGGTTATGTTATAATATTAATAATTTATTTTTCGTTGTTGATGCAGTTTGGTTACAATCTTTTTAGTACACTTAATAATGTACATACTGGCAAAGAGCCCAGCCTGGAATAATAGGGCATGCACAGGGATATTTAGCCCTAGAAATCTGTAAAAAGTTACTACAAGTACTGAGTAGGCCTAGGATTTTTTACTAGACCCAATTTGCCAGCCTTCTACATGATGCATTTTATTCAGCCATGGGCTACACATCATCTACAAAAGTAAATAAAGTACAAAATATACAGTTAGATGCTTTTAAACATTACTCTAATAGTGTGTTTTTTGTTTTGTTTTTTTTTTGTTTTGTTTTTTTTTTCATTTTTATGTGGTTTATTTATTCTTTATTTTGGGGAAGCTGTTATGGACAGTGCAATATTATGGTTTGGGCTGTTGTAGACATGCTTTTCAAGAGAAGGATTTAGCGATGGGCGTCACATGACCTAACTTGGGTGTTGGATATAAACAATCCACTGACACATCGGTGTTTTACATGGCAGTTTCTATCATCATCATCATTGAGATCATCATAATTCCCAGTAAACTATACAAAATTGATTGGAAAGTAAACTTAAGAATTTTGCCTTAATGTTTTGCTAATATTGCTGTAAAGGATACTGGCCGCAAACATTGAGATTTTTCAACAATGTTAGACCTTATGTTAGGCCTTAGCCCCTGCATATGGCATGGTTAGGTATGCATGATGGTCCTCGACTAGCAAACTACGCTGCGATGTTAGGGCCAGCTAAGGTTTATGAAGGATCACTTAAATTTCAAAGCATACAATCCAAGAAGAATAAGTAAATAAACACTATTTTGAACAGTCGTATTGCCTTTCCTAGCCATTTACTTCTCACATTAACAGTGGGTGATTGTTTTCGCAACCATAACATTATCGTTTCCTATGCTATCGCACTGTAATGTTTTTCATGTATACCAAAGTTAGGTCACGTGACCGCCTGTAAACAATCATCGCTAAATCCCTCTATTGTTTGTTCTTCCCATCACTGGCTACTGTCCTGTTGCCATTTTTATTGTTATGTACAGTCAAATAAATAAATTAAAACTATTATTATTGTTCTAGGCCTACAGTAGCCTGTTTTATGGTAGTGAACATGTTTTTTACAGTTCTGCACACAATTTTAAAATATAGCTAGACATAAACCGTGTCATTACTATTTATCATACATTCCATCTAATGTTTGAGCTACGGAAGCAGTAGTGAGTATTTTCCCGGTTCACTTTTTCATCCACCTGTCATTAGAGTGCCTCATAATTGCACAAAGCTTACAGTACATATCTTCACTACTGTATCTCTGAAAAGAGATGGACTCCTTCTCCCATGGGTACCCATTGTACATGATTAAAAAACTACCCGATATCAAAGTTCTTGAACGCAAGTGTTCTTAATAATTTGTTTGTCTCTGAAATGTGCCACCATATTTTTTTTTACGATTAAGGAAAACTTGATATACTTTGTACTGTACTCTGTACATAAACGATAGCCCATGTGTGAAAAACTGAGCTCTTTCAGAGTCACCGACATTGATGTTTTATTCTCTGCACATATTAAACATTAATTATGTCGGCATATAAAAATAGAACAGAAATACTATTTTATATAGTATTGGATGGCAATGAAGCAGGATCTGGGGAAAAATTGATTGGAATATGGTTGCAACCTTTGACACGTTGTGTTGGAGGCAACTCTGCGGAAATTTATTTTTAAGCACAAGACTACAGTACTGTAATCAATGTACTGTACAGAGGTATTAAATCTCTCATGAAGATGAGCAAGCCTGTGTGAATATCAAAAGTTCACATTAGCAGGAAGGAAGGAGAGAATCTGTAAATCAAGGCTTAATACAGGGAAGATGTACTGAGGGTCCCAATCGATCAGTTCTACAGTAGATGTATGGACCGCCCTCACAAAATATTGTTGACAAATTTGAATGCAGTAGGAAGATACAGTAGCTGGGTGGGCTGTTGGTATATGAGCAGCGACAGGCCTTTCCATGAATAAGGTTTGCCATTTAGCCTACAGTAGAACCAAGCATGAAGGCCACAACTGTTCTTCACCCGTAAGCCAAAGGACATGAAGACGTGTGCATTGCACATATTACACATTTAGTACCAAATTGTTCAGGGATGTATTTATGGTGGGTGGGGCCTCCCAGACTTGAAGTTTTCCACCCTGTCTAAAGCTAAGTTCATGGCCTTCCGCCCACCCTTATTAACTCACTTTTTATACTTAAAGTCCACTCTTATTATTAAGAGACTCTAATTATAAGAGCGTGGTAGGCCTACAGCCACAATACATCTTTATATAGCAATTTATAGCAAGATACCGGATACTCTGCCCACAAACATCTATATTACCTATGAGAAAAAGCGTGCAAAGATAAATTTGGTTTTCGGCACATGAAGTAGGTAAAGTAAATACATCAAAGACAATTAAGTTTTATTTTCTATGGTACATCACAGCGATTACTGTAATTAGATTGATAATAACAAATTTTACATATATTATAAGAGTGTCATATCTGGCAATCTACAGGTACTATTTCCCTGAATTTTACCAACTTGGCCACAACTGTGGTGTGGCTGAGATGCGTGTGGACTCAGTTTTGAAGTAGGTATAAGTATACATAAAAGACATGTTTTTAAGATGTATTTTCTATGGTACCGTATCACACATTAGATCTCTGTGGTTGCGGAAAACAGCTGATGAAAGATCATTAGAATTTGTTGGCGCGTCATTTTTGATTATATAATGTTGGGGATGTTGAAGAATTTTGAGTAATTTCCGGCCATAGAGGTACTACTGTATTTCTTTAAATTTTCTCTTTGCAAGAGAGGGATTTATCACCTCAGCCCCAACCATGGCGGGTGAATGTGGCCACACAGCTTTAAAGTACTGTAGGTCAAGTAAATTATATACATCAAAGAAAGTGTTTCTTTAGTTTTTTTTCTATGGTACATCACTCATAATTTTAGATCTCTGTGGTTGCCGAAAATCCCTGATTAAAAATCATGAGAAATTTGCTGGCACTTCATCAAGACACGATGGTGTGATGATGATGATGAATTTTACTATATGAAAGTGTTATTTCTGGCCATCTAAAGGTACTATTTCCTCAAATTTTCTCACCCACCTCAGCCTCAACTATGGTGGGGCAGAGGTGATTGTGGACTCACTGCTTTGAAGTAGGTAAAGTAAATACATCAAAGAGAATGTTTTTGTGTCATCGTTCAGAGAGCGCAGATGGATTCGCTGATAACTGTCAGTTGATAAACTGTGTGACTGGTTTAAGAAATGGGCAACATTTTAGAATCTCATGATGGAATGTTTTTTACAGTCAAGAGCAACAATGACCCCATACTGGCATGGATGTTGTACCCCTGCAAATACTGAATTCGGTCGAGTTCAGCAGTGTCCTTAATATACCCAGGGACCAAAGAAGCTAAATAGGTGCCCTGCAAGGCTTAACAATACAGTACCTTATTGAATTTGAATTTAACCAACCTTTTCTGTGATATATTTAATTCTGCACTGAGTACATTCAGTAACTACATTTCTTGAATAAGACTGCATTATTTATTAGTATACAGTAGGTAACAAGGAGTCAGCCGTTCATTAAATGCAGTGTAATTGTAAAGTAGTAGTTTATCATCTTGATTAAAATCATTCTAAAGATCCTTTCATGTGTAAAATATTCCTTTCTTAAGATTTTGTTTAAATGTATGGTACTGACCCTAATGAAAAACTCATTCTACTCAGTCACAAATCACTTCAAATGTTACAAATCTTTTTTTCTGAAATCATTGGCATTAGTGGCAATATACAGTAACAAACATCAAACTTGAATGGGTTTAAATGAATTTTAAATTAGTGGGCAACATTTATACAGGGATGTAGCTATTGGAAACTGAGGGTGGGTGTTAGAATTTTTTAGGGTGGGTTTGGCATGAACGTATGTGTACAAAGCAAAGCGCCAACCGAGCGAGGGCCGAAAAACCGAATGGGGGATGGGTTTCTGAGGCGGAAAAACCCCCAAAGCAATGGGATTCATGCTGTATAGAGCGCCAAAATGTTCAACTAGGGTAATGTAAAGTCTTAACAATTTACGTTTTGATTGCTTATAAAAATACTGTACGTACCTAATTTGTTTAAAGTCAATGATGAATACTACAGTAGCCTATGTGACATAACTACTATTCTTTATTCCAGGATAACAGGGTCAATCATGCAAATAATATAATTTTAATCAAGAAAACAAAAACAATAATTTATTTTTAAAGACAAGGACTACTAGCCTTTGTAACATTGGTCATCATCATGTAATCATCATAATAACGTCTACTTTTTTCTGTTTAGTTCTGTCTCATGCAATTGCAATACAGTAGTCATGGACTAGTAATAAATATATCTCATGCCGAGATTATGAACTCAGTGTATTTTATTTGCTAATAAAATTACTCCATAAATTAGACTAATGAAATTATGGAAATAATTTCACATGTATCTCCTATCCTTTATTATTTAACATATCTTGTTAATTTTCACTAGTTCAAAATATCTACGACTGGTGGTGGGCGACGGTAACGATCTCCCGATAGTAAGCTAGGGACTTCCCATTTTCTGTCGTGAATTACAGCCTGAATGCAAATTAACATCGACTTGCTCACAAGTTTTGCTTCACTAAAAGCGAAATGAATAAGAATAGTAAGATCCATTGTTACAGTGGCTATATTGTGAGAAACAAACATCGCTCGTACAACTAGCCAGTAGGGGTAAAGACGGAACCAAAGTTATGATAAAAACAATAGTCTAGGCATCATTAGTTTGACAAGTCGGGGCATTTTCGGCTACACCCTACAGGTAGACTGCCTGTACCAATTTGCAGACAGACAACTTGTGTTTTCAAACCAACTACGTTGCTCTCATGCCAAGCGAGGAATCATGTGACTGTGTTTTTAAGGTACAGCGAAGCAAGCAAACAACATTCTGACTGGTGCGAGAATCCATTGTCCCATTATCAGTAACTATTAATTGGAAAAAAAAACTTGTATTTGTGCGTGATTTTTAGGGTGGGTGGAATGGTTTGTATGAGGCTGGGCGGAAGACATTAAAAATGGCTTTAGGATGGACGCACCAATCATTATCACAGGGTTTGGATTGGGTTTTTACTGTGTTTTTAGAAGTTTGCGGTGTATGTTTAGGTATTTTTAACAAAAAATCAAGATTTTACCCCAAAAATAGGTTGTGACAAACATAAAATTATGATTTTTTTGATTGAGATACCAAAATGAGTCCTATGCTGTGTGATTCATTAATTATCGCAGGGTTTGGATTGGGGTTTGCAGTGTTTTTTGGAGGTTTGCGGGGTTTAGCAATTACCCATTTTTAGTAGTTAAGTCTTTCATTTCTTCTGTCCCCTTTCTCTTATAATCTGTTTGGGCTTTGTCGCTTGTCATTTATTATAAGAATGTTGCCCTAGAGAATTTACTAATGTTTTCCTTTTATCAATTGTTATGTTCTTTTTTTTTTATAGTATACAGTATGTCTATTTTATAAAACTGGTTTTACTGTATGTACAATAAAAAAAATGAAGTCTTGCCCACCAAAAGTGCCAAGCAAATTATCTATCACAAGTTCACTCTTTGGATAGAAAATCATTTTGAATCTTATATCTCCATGGTAATAAGAGTGCTGTAGGAATCAGTATTTTTGTAAAATTCATACTAAATTAATTTTTTCCTTTTTTTAGGCTATTTTATATTATAAACAGATGATACAAAATCTAAATGGAGAAGGAGTGGATACACATGTCTACTGCCGATTAGGACATTTTCATCTGCTCTTGAATGATTTTAGTAAAGGTAAATATGTTTCTCTTAAGTATTTTTTGACTATAATCTTTATTTTTATTTTTAACAATTATAGTTTTGTAATTTATCAGTAGTCTTTTCGTAATGTTCCGTTTGTTTTTTCAGAAAGAATTTGTAAAAAATATATTATAAGTAGAATTACGTTCAACCATAGTAGAATTATTTATAATAAAGTTGCAGTATTTATAATTTGACAATGAATGGTGGTAGCGTTATAAAATGGTGTGTTATTATAGACCTATAGACCAAAGATATTCAATTCAAATAACATTTTTTTTTTTGCTTTTATTGCATAAAAAAACACTGTATTGTGAAGTCTAAAGAAATACCTCATTTTTTTTTGTTTTAATTTTATAGAGAAAATAATAATTAAGAAAAATGAATAAATTTCAATAAATGAAATGTTTTTTAAAATTATTTTTAAGATTAATGCAGGTTGTTATTAGTTTCAATTAAAATATAAAATTAAATTAATAATTTCCTCTGCAATTTGATACAAATAATGCACTAATAGTAATACCATTCTAATATTCTTTGTTTAGACCATGAAACTGGTTGATATTAATAATATTATTATAGACCTATGGATCAAAAATAAACTCTATTCAATTTCAAATAACATTGATTTTTTTTTTTTTTTTTTTAAAGAAAAATGAATAAATTTCAATAAATGAAATGTTTAAAAAAATTATTTTTAAGATTAATCAAAGATACTAGAAATACAAGATAGAGTTCTCCACACAAAAAAAAGTGTTCCACTGTGTTCCACCGAAATGCATGGTGGGAATATGAAAAATGGGATGCCCCCTACATCTGGATCTAAAAAAACTTGTGCCAAACTTTCATTACCAAGTCGTCGCATATTTTATTATCAATTCTCAACAAAGATACTAGATATAAAAACAAACTGGAATAGACACCCAGACAGTGACATCAGTGAATACATAACCTCCTTGGTGGCGGTAGAAATCGTTGCTATTATCCAAAAAATACACAAAACAATTAAAGCATAATCATGAATCAGTTAAGAATAAAACAACAATGCAGCGCAGAATCTCTGCCGGACGCACTCTTAGTGCAAAAGTTTTCCTACATTAGTGGAAAAGGAAGGGCGCCTTTTGCGTCTGGATATACTTAATAACAGAAGGGCGCCCTGTACGTAGGGCACGAAGTATAGGAAACTTGCATGGTTAAAAAGAAGGGCGTCGCCTACGTTGGGCACGACTTCCGCCTCATTTTTACAATGCGAGAACTCTATCTTGTATTTCTAGTATCTTTGGATTAATGCAGCTTATTAAATAGTTTCAATTAAAATTTAAAATTAAATTAATTTCCTCTGCAATTTGATACAAATAATATACTAATGGTAATACCATTCTAATATTCTTTGTTTAGACCATTATACTGGCTGATATTAATAACCAATTTAAGGATAAGTTTTTGATGAAAGTTAAGTTGTTTAATTAATGTTTTATATAGGTAGTTGATAACTTTTTGATCCTAGATGAGTAATTCTGTTTTGTATTTTTAAGGTAGGATTTCAATTTTCCAGATTTTACCAAGGTATTCTCAAAAATTAAAAAATGAAGTGTGTACAGTCTGTCATACAGTATTGTAGTTGACAGAATATTTTGTGTAATTATGTTTGATGTTAAAAATGCTTATAGGCATTACAATGAGCAAAGTGATTCCTGCTATAAAAGTTAGTTACTGTAATCCGGCAGCCAATATTTCTAAAAATTGGTTGGCAATGTAGGGTTTTTGTTTTTGTAGCTGGAAAAAAAAAACCCAAGAAACTGAAGGAATCGCATTAAAATGTATATAAAATTGTTAATGCTAAAAACTCACTATAACCATGACTACGTAATAAATGATAAGTTTATTTCAATACTGTCCATAAGAAATGCATAAAAATACTGTTAATTTGAAGTATAGACTGAAAATCTCCAAATAATGTACCCAGACCTTCATTTAAAGATATCACTGGAGAGCAACAAATATCGGAAGTTGACTCGCATTGTTTGCTAGTATATGCACCATATTTGTCTAGTGGAAGTTCTACTCTACAGTACGCATTATGTCCTCAAAATCGAGAGGTTACTGTATTTTGTTGAATATTAACATTTTTGTAATTCCCACAGAATGTTTGTATTAAAAATGTGTTTCCAATGAAATCCATGTGAATTCAATTAATAAACATTGTTTTATTAACGTATGATTTTATATAGTAAAATGCAAAAATTGATAGATTTTGATTTATGGACGTTTCAAAATACAAATTTGTCATTTGTTTTACAGGTACAGTAGTTCAGTTGTAAATCATGAGCGCTATTTTTTGCTCTTCTTAGATTGCTTTGAGGTGGACGAAGGAGTGCAGTCATTTAAAAATGCTATTCAAGAGCACTTTAAATCAAATCCCTTTCCTATAGTAGAGTGCTACTGTATAAATAATAAAAATAACCCTATCCATTCTCGTCGCTTCCAGTATAATCCTTGGCGGACGGTTTGGGAGTTTCAAGGTACAAGGTGTTCCTTTTAAATGAAGTCTGTGTATGTTACCCCTCCGGCTGAACAGAGTTTGAAAAATATCGTAATCAGATAGTTCAGATCGCGGTGTTGATGTCTACTCTAGGTCTACAGGGTACAGTACAGTAGGCCTAAACCTGGCCATGGCAAGAAAAATTTTGTCATGAAAAATGACTTGGATTTTACCGTTTTCTGCAACAAAAAATGTTGTACAGAAGTCAAAATTATCTGTACTCACTGTGATATTCATTTGAAATGATTTCTGAATAAATACATGATCATTAACACTCTGCCCGCCAAACACAGAGATCTTTGCGTTTGGTAACTTAATGCTTGACCGCCAAACGTGGAGATCTCCGTGTTTTAGGTTTTTTCGCTGAATCCGATAGATGGGATAATTACAGACATGTACCAACACTATATTTAGTCTGAACCGCAAATATTTCACTATTTGTTTGTTTACATTTAGCGTAGAGCAGTATTACTTTACTTTCATGAAATCGCGATTATCTTAGCTTCGTTGGAAGAAATTGCGTAATTCTCTAAAAGTGAGTCCTTTTCGTTTTACTGTTACGGGTCACAGATTGTGATTAGAATAAAGTGTTTGGTACCATTGTAAAGCTAAAATGTTTGTAGTTCTTGTAGTATTCACTACATGTCAACCTGATCACATACACTCTCTCAACGAGCTTCAGGAAAGTGTTAAAGTTTTCTAAAAAGTCTGGCGGTGGCTGATACTATTTTTTTCAAACCCCTGGCAGTCAGAGTATTAATACTAGTATAAACAAATCATATTCCCTTCATAACGATAGTGAATTGGTTTACCTGTACCCCACTGTTTTATCTTTTGGAATAGTGCCACCAATGAACAAAATATAGAATTCCTTCTGGATGGGCTGCTGTACAAAGCTGCCTGAACAAGCATACACTGCTCTATTTATTTATTTGTTTGTTTGTTTGTCTATACTGTTGGCACTTTCAGTACAATTGCACTGATTTTCAGAGTATGAAATATATCTTGCCTTAAGACAATTTATATTTCTCTAAAGAAAGTTTGATGTTTGATTTATTGGTTGAAACCATTTCTTTCTTGGCTGATGTCACATCATTAATATAGGATTTTTAAATACAATTTTAAGGGTTTTTGAATTGAGAAAAAAAATCATGTCTAATGATGTCATTCCTACAAATTTCGCGAGTGTTTTATAGGGTAAACAAATGTAATTTTTCATGCTTCCTGGTTATAGGGGCTTTGAACATTATTATTTTTGGCATTTTAAAGGTAAATAATAAAAAAAGGAATCCGATTATTTAATATTTAACCTGCATGTCAGTTGAAAACTCTTGACTTCTTCGGTGTCATTGTTTTGGCCTATATTTCAAAACGGCCAACGTGACTTCCAACTGTTTCCCCTTGTCACTGCCACAAATTGTTTTAATTTTTAAGATATTAATTAAATTTTGTTTAAATGTGGTTATAGTTTTTCGAGTCGGCCACTGATTGTGGTAGTTTGTTCAATAACGGAGAAATACAATAACGGAGAAGTAAAATGATGATTTAAAGGTCTGCAACTTGCAAGGAAAAGCGCGATCTACAAGTAACAAGTAACTGAGGAACAACAAAGGAATCAGAATGATTTAAGCGAGTTGATCGCCATCTGGGCCTAACTAAGATTTGGAGAAATGATAATGAATTACCTTAATTAAACAAAAAAAAGTTATCAAACATAGATTTAATATCTTTCGTTGTATGCACGTGTTGGGAATATCCTGTAACATTTGTTAAATTTATCAGAACTAAGAGAACTTTAGAAACAAAATTCCATTTAGCTATTAAAACAAAATGTTGGCAATGTACCAGAAAAGGCCTACTGTACATTTTGTTTACTTTTGGGGAAATCCCTGATTGTACCGGAATATATTATTGAGTTTATGTTGGTGATTAAACATTAATATATAACATTTTATTTTATTCTGATATTGATAAAATACTCACCTAAACCCTTTGTGGGATGGAATACGTGGATCTGCCATAAACAAGCAAAGGGTTGTAATGACTAACTTTATACAATGAAGTCTTTAAAAAAGTGATTGTAAGTCATAGTAGACAATTAGGTGGAACTTTCATACATGCACACTGCAAACAATGCAAGAAAACGAAAATGACGTATAATATACATAGAATTCATGTTTGCGTAGGATGGCAGCTTGACCTGACCACACCCATATTTTGAGTGACAGATACACATTCTATACCCTGTTTGCAAATATTTTTGATTGATAGGTAATTTAGTAAACTTGCCTTTCAATGGAATTTAAAACAATAAAAATTGTCATTCAAAATTCAAGTAAATTGTTCTATACTATGCCCTTGTAATTTCTATGTGGCTCATATAAGTAATTAATGTCTAAGGTTTTTGTGACTTTGTGGGCGGGGCTTCGCATCCTTGTCGACATGTCAATTGATTTTAAATGCTACATTAGTCTAATTTTAAACAATTGTCTGCAATCAGGTAATATCTAGAAAAATTTTCAAGTTTAATTACATTGAATACTGTAGGCATTAAAATACTTTATCAACTCGAAATAGAGTATTGCCAATGCTTTCTGTAAACGCAAACATAGTAGTAGGTATCCCAATGAGAAATTTCAAATTCATTATTGTGAATTCTCTCTTCATTTAATATGCAGAACTTACTGCACTGATCACTTTCCAGTTTAAATAAATGAAATCCAACATACCGTTCAAAAGTTATGGCCCATCAAAGTTGCCAAAAATGGGGGTCAAACGGTTAAAAATTCTAATAGGACAATTGGGATTGGAAGGTAAACATCTTGGCTGTAGTAAACAAGGTTCAGAGTCACTGTTCTTCATCTGTAAATTTACTTATTCTTAACTAAAGATAGAATTTAATTGTTTTCTTGTTACTCTACATTTGAGTTGCGGTCGTAGAATTTACAGAAAAATAAATTAATCATTCTCATTATTTTTTTTTGTTGTTGAAAAAATTAGATTAACCTGCTTGTATTAAAATTTATATATAAAAATTAAACATGCTAAAGTAAGGTGTTTTGAACAAAGTGAAAGGATGTTGCTAATTATGTGATACTATGACATGAAAAAGGGTCAGTCAGATGTCAAAATGAGCACACTTCCTAGATATCAAGTAGTGAATAAAAGTAGATTGTTGAGTATTTGCTGATTTTTGAACATTCTTATAACATTTAACAAAGATTTATTAGTGTTTCTCCCTGCAGTTAACACCACCACTAATTAAAGACCACTTCTCTTTGGCCTCCAATGAATACTAGTCTTCTATCGTCATACTAATAATTTTTCATTTTTCTAATTGGACACATTGGTCTCCAAAGTGGTCTTATATGGGAGGGAGACCTAAATACAATATTGTAATTTTGACCTTGTTTCTAATAACACAATCTATTATTATTTACTGTTACAAATTTGAGATAATTTCCTATTTTCTCAATATTTATAAATACTTAAAACAACAATAGTTTTTAATGATTAATATCAAAATATCCCGTTCATGATTGCGGTCTTCTAATATAATTTATAAAAACATTGATTTCTATAATGAAATGTTTTTTACACAAGTAACCATCATGTTTGTTGAGTTAAAAAATGGCACTAGCAAAACAGAACAACAAAAACTTCTGAATAATAAAATTTATATTTTTTATATAAGAGCTCAAATTTTAACTTTGTTTAATTCATAAGGTGCTATATTTGATATTTTGTTTGTTTTTCTGTCCATAGCATTATCGGCGTATCAGAAGTTCTTCACTCTGCAGGAAGACTACTGGAAGGCAAGTTACTGGCACTTAGACTTAGCGTGAATAGGAACATGTACTTAAACTGAGTCACATTATGACTCAGGAAGCCGGTATTCTTTCTTTATGAAATTATAACAGACACATATTAAGATAACACATTGTTGGTTTCATCCTCCTCTCTGTACTTCCTCAGGTATAAGCCAATCCAGGTTATCAGCCTACTACTAAAGATTTGAGTGATTTTCCTATCCATAATGGAAATTCTTGACTTTGTAAGGCCTAAGATCTATGCCAGACTCTGAGATTTTGTAGCATAGCTGAGCTAAAGTGAGCTAAAATGTTCACCATTTTTTGTATTTTCCTGTAATTGGGTACTAGGCACGCCCCAAAAAACAATAGTCTAATTTTATTTTCAATGAAGGTGTGATTATATTCAAGAAACTAGTTAAAAAATGTTGTTATTCTCATATATGGCGAACACAAAATAAATCAGTTCATAGTAGTAAATTGATTTTTATATAGTCACCTTGTAACAATGCTATAATTAGTGAAAAAATTATAATTTTAACAGTAAAGCTAATTTTTTTCATCTGGGTTGAATTTTTTTTTTTTTTTAATGTTAATGTTTTTAATTTTTATATTGTTAAGAAATTAAAATTTAAAAAAAATAGTTTTCTATTATTTTTCCCAATATCTTGGTTCATTCCTAGGGACTTCCGATTGTCTCCTCTTCTTCGCCACATGTTATCAGATTTACATTATACTATCAAATATTGTATTTATCATTATAGTACACATTTTAAATTCCATTGCGGTAATTTAAAATCCACCAACATGGTCACAACACCTCAGGCTAGCTACCACTATCGCCCTTTAACTGCATTAAACGTATTCAACATTACATCGTTGAAACAAAATAGTGTTTCTCTTTACATGTAATACAGTATTCTTACTACTGTAATGCAATTTAAGTTGCCTATTGTTTTCGTTGAAGCCGTCATTCTCAAATTATGTTTCATACTTGCTTATATTATAAGCTTGGATTGCATTATGCTCCTAAGGGTCATTATGAATTTATATTGAATCTTGAATTTTGAATAAATCTCTACTTTTATCATATCAAAACCACTTAATAATAGGAAGTTATATTGTTTATTAACCTAAATGATAAATGGGATTATTTCATTTGTGGCAACTAGTCACTCTTCACAAGGGTCAATTAATTAAAAAAAACTAAATAAAATGGTTAAAGAATCATTTAAATCCGACATTTCGTTATGAAGTTATGGGTATTTAAACATTGGTTTAAAGAACAGTATTCGAGAAATCAGCTTTTAAACTTCATGATTTTGGACATTTCTTAGGTAGAGACCATCACAAAATTGTGAGCTTTGAAAATAATGGGGAAAATACAGTAACAATAAAGCATGATGTATCGATAAATAAAGTTCAGTTTGACTTTCCAACATGTTTTGGCTGTTATCTTGAAAATGATATCCAAATATAAACATTAATATTAAATTAAAATCCAAACATAGATGCTCATGAAGTCATTACAATGAGCAAGAGGTATGGAGAATTCAGAAAGATTGAACTCGCTCTATACAATTTTTACAGTATTAACAACTGGAAGGTATTTAAGATGCAATATAACTTCTTAGTTTAAATGGACTAATAGCACAGTATAAGCATATATTCAGTTTATATGCACATGGAGTTACTGTAGATAAAACAAACTTTATGATTTGACCTTAGATTGACTTCATGTTCTGATTTATGACTATCTTCCATTTACGCAAAATTGGTGTTTGACACTATAATAAATATAAAAAAATACTTTGTTTTTCAGGATGCAGCATTTTTGTATGGACTTGGCATGGTGTATTTTCACTTTACTGCATATCAGTGGTAAGTTTCTTCTAATTGTTCATGTTGCCAGGTATGAGTAAAGATATGTGTGAGCTGGTGCTGGAATTGTGCAACTCTCAAAATTTGTCATGGAGGTGTGTTGGACAGTGGTAAACATTTTGCATTTCACTACCCGTAGAGAGGTTGAGTGTTCAAGTCAGGTCACATTGCTGGTCGGGATGCTCTCAGCGTTCAAACCCAGCCTCTCTGTCCCAGGTGAATTATGATATTTCTTCAGTTTACTATAAATCTCTTAGAGTTTTAAAAGAAATTTATCTTAATTTTGAGAATTTTCATTCATTTTAGAAACCATGTTTTTTTTAATATTTCCTATTCCTTCCTTATAACAGGACACTATATTTTATTCTACCACTCATTATGACAGGAGGGCTAATAAATATTACTAATTACTGTATAGAAATACACTACACTAGGTAATGTACTGTACTATTAAATATAGCAGCTAAAATTATAATAATGTATGCATGATAATTTGCAAAGAACTTAAAAATTAAGAAATTATTGTTATTACATTCAGGTACGTTCAGAATTCATACAAAAACATTAAAATACGAATTCAGAAGCATTGCCTATAAAAATTGAATTGTTGGCAACTCTCCAGTTAAATTATTCAATTTGAACTTTATTTTTCAAGTTAGAATTTTGTTTTTCAAGTTAGAACAAACATACATGAGTAGGAATTCCATAATGAATAATAATAGTACATGCAGATTGACATAATGTCCAGGCCTGTTTTACTATTCACAGAGGGCAGGCTTCAATTATTTTTAAGCTATAGTTTTATTATGATATTTTTGTCTGGTTGTCCAAGTCAGACAGACTGAAGGTCAATAAGGCAAAGGTCCTTAGGAACTGTGCCATGACCCTTTGACAAATGTCTTAGATGCTTTGCTTTTGTTTTCTTTTTTCATAAGCTGAAAAAGTGAGGAATTTATTGTCATTGCCTCTTGTTGTTAAAGTACAGCATATGGTTAACCATGGTTATCTAACTTTATCTCACTGGAGAGCCATGTAAACCCTGCAAAGGTAGTTCTTATTCTACCAGTATATAGTGAGAATTTCTTTTTGAATAACGGGATTGAATACTTAATTTAAACTACCACTCAAAAAAAAGACTTTGCTTTTGTTTTTCTCTTTTCAAAAGCTGAAAAATTGAGGAATTTATTGTCATTGCCTCTTGTTGATATACTACAATATATGGTTACCACGGTTATTTAACTTTATCTCATTGGAGAGCCATGTAAACCCTGCAAAGGTAGTTCTTGTTCTACCAGTATATAGTGAGAATTTCTTTTTGAATAACTGAATTGAATACTTAATTTAAACTACCACTCAAAAAAAAAAAAAAAGGACTTTGCTTTTGTTTTCTTTTTTCAAAAGCTGAAAAAGTGAGGAATTTATTGTCATTGCCTCTTGTTGATATATTACAATATATGGTTACCATGGTTATTTAACTTTATCTCATTGGAGAGCCATGTAAACCCTGCAAAGGTGGTTCTTATTCTACCAGTATATAGTGAGAATTTCTTTTTGAATAACGGAATTGAATACTTAATTTTAACTACCACTCAAAAAAAAAGACTTATAAATTATAATAAAAATTTGATTGCATAAAATCATCAACTTCCAGTAAGTCTAAGTCACAGAAAAAATGGTTTTCAATGATTTAAAGGTATTGCATTTTTTTTACAAGAACTAGTAATATATTTTATTCTTATTTTTACACACTTTTCAATCATAGAATATTATTTACCTTGTTATAGAGGGTATTACAAAGTCACACCTATAGCACATAAGGTACAAACAAAGAAAATAAAAAAAACAAACAACTTATTTGACATTTTACCTCAGCCTCAATTTGTTCTTATATTGTTCTTATTTTTTAAGCAATTTCAGTCTCAGTGTTTTGTAAAAAAAAAGGTGGTGTGATGGAAACCTTTAAATAGGTATCCTAGCAAAAACATTAAAATATGTTGGAGTTTTGATATTGGCCTGGTTTACAATAAAATATAATTTTTATGGGTAGACAATTGTGAGAAAAACAATTCTTGACACTTTTTTTCCAATGGTTGAACCTACAGTAGCACTCTGGGCTTGGATGTCAGAATCCTAATCATCAATTCCAATAGATGAAATAAATCATTAGCATTTAAAAGTATAGACTTCTTTAAAGTAGCAATTTATTGTATGAAAGCAAAGAGCGCCATCTGTTGATATACTGCTTTGTTTCACTGGTTATTAAACAGTCTTTGTTCTTCCAAATAAAAATAGTAATAAATTAAAACTTTTTGAGTCAGACAAATGCTCATGGCATTTTTTAATCCATTTAACCCATGTGGAAGTGGAAGGCACCATGATAGAGTAAAGATTTTAGGTCCATAATGAAAACCGGTGCATAAATGGTTTTTTAAAGTAGACTATGCAGATATTCTCTGCTATTAATTCTGAAAAATGATGATAAATGAGTCTTAAATGTGATGTTAAGGAAGAGTCTATTTGTGTCTTTTATATTGCTATGAATTAAAACATTGACAGAAATAAGTTTTAATCAGACCACTTATCTAGACATAAGTTCGACGTGAACCAGTCAGTTAATGTCTAGCTAAAAGCTTAATTCGCCTATCGTCACTAAATTAAAGGTAAATTAACCTGTTTAACTGTAAATTTGACTTGGATTACAAGGACACGATTACGTAACGTAGGCATCTAAGCCAGCATAGTTGTACCATTGCTATCATCATCCTCTGGCTGGAAACAATGTACTCCAACAGTGCTAACAACAGCAGCAAAGTAGTCTCACCAACCTGGGTTCAGAAATTATTTGTAAACCCAGTAACCGTCTGTTTTAAGAATGGTCGATTTTACAAATGACCTTTGCCCTTTGCATCATCGACCAAGTAATAACGTCAGAAAAGTCCGATTGTGTATGTTTTTCAAAGTGCATGTAAACTACACAATTCAGCGATCTAAAAACTACCAAAAACATGACAGAAAATTTCATAAAATACACAGACTCAGACGTTTTAATAAGAATTTACATGGCATCCAGAGTGAAAGGCATTCTTTGCGCTTTGTTGCTGTATTCCATTTTGTTGTCACTTGGCTTCTTAAAGTTAAACTCAGACGGTTTTGCCTTAACTTTCATCTTAACTTTGTAAGTTACTATGAGCATGAGTTTTCTACGCCTGATGATGTGTTTCCATTGTCGTTTGGACATGAAGTTTTCTTATCAAAATGTTTTCACATACAGGTAGAAAGTAAATCGCACAAGCAGCTGAGAATTTTATTATGCAGCGAATGATCTAGTTGTAAAAATAATATTATTATTATTATTGTTTTTATTGTAAAAAACAAGTACTGTGCTGCAAAACAAATACTCGTTGTTACTGCTCTGCTTGTGTGTCGGAATATTCGCTCATGTCCTGGCCCACAAATACTCGTTGTTACTGCTCTGCTTGTGTGTGGGGATATTCGCTCATGTCCTGGCCCGGTTAAGTCACAGAGTAAAATCGGACTGAATTGTCTTTATCTAAATGCACGCAGCAGTCAGAAGTGGAATTAACAAACTTCATGGTTTTGAGGAAATTTTGGCGAACGGCAAACATGGTTGTATTTGTGTTTCTGAAACTTGGCTGAATGAGTCTGTGGATGACGCCAAATTGGCTTCGTCTGATTACATTTTATATCATAAAGATAGAGCTAACGCCAGCAAGATCAGAGGTGGTGGTGTTTTGTGTACAGTAAAGAAATCTCTGCTCTCTATATGCCAAGCTGACCTGTACAGTAGTCCACTGACGAAATCTCCATCGTAGACATCAAGCCAAATACAAACCACAAGATTGCTGTGATTCTGTGTTGTTATAGACCACCAGATGGGGATGTTAGTGTTTTTACGAACAACTTCAATTCTGCTCTTCAAAAAGCATAGTCAATATTTAAGCATATCTTAGTTGTTGGAGATTTCAATTTGCCTAAACTTAAGAAATGTATCGATCCTGTTTCGATTAATTTATCTCAGTGTGAACAAAGTTTTTGTGATGTTTTTAACAATTTTTTTCTCTCCCAAATCAACCATGTCCCATCCAGAATAAAGTGTGATAACATACTGGATCTGATATTTACCTCTGAACCGGAGTGAATATCCAGTGTTAACGCTGTATATCACACTAAAATTTTCATACCGATCATGTGTTGCTTGAATTTGATGTGTATATTAAGGTCAATAGAATTTTTATACAATTTTAAATGTGCCAATTTTAATAATATTAGGTATGTTCTCATCTCAATGTATATAAAAACTTATTAGCCTATAAGGATAAATAATACATTAATAATCTTGAGTCTTCTATTGCGAATAATCCTAAAAGGTTCTGATCATTTTTTAGAACAAAACCCAAACCAAATCATTGCCCAATATTATTACGAGTATTAGTGGTCAGACCGCTTCAGATGCAAAAGACAAAAAGCAACTTTGTTAAACAATTTTTAAAATTCTGTTTTGTCACAAAGTAAGGATTAATGAAGAATTCCCATTTTCCAGAATGATAATCTTGGATCAATTTTTGTTAATGAAAATGACATTTTTAATATTCTTAAACATTTAGATGTTACCAAGTCATCCGGTCCTGATAATTTGTCTCCAATTGTTTTAAGGGAATGTGCTCAACAGATTGCTCCCTTATGCTAATTATTAATTTTTCTCTTAGATCTAAAAAATTTCCCCTAGACTGGCTAAAAGACAATATCGTTCCAGTTTTTAAAAAATCTGAAAAAAGTGGTATCGAGAATTATCGACCTGTGTCGCTTCTTTGTATATTTGCCAAGGTTATGGAAAGAGATTGAATGTTATTTGTCCAATTGTTCGTGATGATATTTATGGTAAAGATAAAGGTAAAGGTAGGAGAATAACCCATAACATGCAGCGTCATTGTGCTGCACTGCGTATGGGCATGGTCCGTGACTACCTAGCAGTTGTAAAG